TTTTATATATATAAATAAACTGGAGACAGACAGACAGATCTATCTATCTGTCTATCTCTCTCCCCCTCCAGTTTATTGTTCCAGGTGGTGTTTTCCTTTGAAATGGTGTAGCCTCTTCATGTGCATACCAATGCAGAAAACTGTCTGCAAGTAGAGAGTGTTCTCTGAGCGTGACGGATGCTTCTGTACGTTACAGGTTTGACTTCCACTAGCAGTGAGTGTATTCCTAAAAACTCAGACTTGCAATGTGATCCCATCATTCGGACATACGGACGAAAAAAACGAGGCCTCACTGGCTATATGCTAACTTTAGAAGAGCAGAAAAAATATGACTATCCCATAAAAGGTCAGGTTTTGAAGGGTTTGGTTTGGTTGTTGTGGTGGTGGTGGTGGGTTTTTTGTTTTAATTTTGACAGTCAGTGATATGGTTGGTCATATAAGATACCTGATGAGTTTTAGAAGAGAGAGAGGTCTGTTTCTTATTTATGTCTTTTCATCCTAGGATCCCCTAGATGTAAGGGCTATATATACACAGAGTGTGATCAGCAGAGGACGGACAGCAGCCCCCTCTTTGGTCTGGATTGTGAAATGGTAAAAATAAATGTGTGTGGCCTTACAAAATACAGCCGAGCAACCAGAGTCCTACCAGCTATTCCAAAGTGAGCTAAGCACCCTGTGTGTTTGTTAAACCACTTCTGATATATTAATATCTGCTGTCGATCCCTTCATCAATGGTACCAGTGCTAACGCAGCCATGGGAAGGACTCAGGAAGTGGTTCTGGCCACAAGACAGAAATGTTACCTTGAGCAGAGAGCTCAGCGCTGCGCTGGCTGTCAGAGCAGCAGCCGGACCTGCCAGGCCCATCAGCAATGCTGCAGTAACCCCGAGACTGCTGTGGTATTTCTGCTCCCAGCCCTCCCCAGGGTTTGGGTGAGGAAAGATACTTCCCTGTCACACATTGTTCCTTTAGCCATCACAGTTCTGGCAGCAGAATCTGGTGATTAAAGTTTTGACCTTGCAGAGATGCCTGTTTGGCATCAGCATTGAGTAACTAACGATATAACCTGGTCTCTGCTTTAAATTGTACATCTCTGGTAAGGATGCTCTCGGTGACAGCTCTGTGGTGTAGAGCACAGACTGATTCTGTGAAATCAGCACTTCTTTATAATGGTTTTCTTTGTGCTGTGCTTGCCTGTGTGTTTTCCGTGCTTATGGTGGCCATTTAACAATTAAAATGAAGCATGCTACAGTATAAAACAATGAGCTGTAAGTGGTAGATCTCTAAGTTGAGTAACTCCTTAGTAGTGATGCTGGCTGCAGCCAAAGCAGATGTTAGCTAAGGTTTTGGGGCGGCAGCATCATTCTGATTCAACAGCTGCCTCTGCTTCTTACTGACAGTGCCTGACTGCAAAAGGGAACGAAGTCACACGTGTCTCTTTGGTGGATGCACAGGGTCAATGCCTCTTGAATGAACTTGTCAAACCTGAAAGCACAGTGGTGAACTACCGCACCAGGTGACTTGCACATAAGTTTCTTATCTCTTCCTTTTTAAGAGCTGCAACCCTTTCAAATTAAACCTGTTACACAGGACCTTTCAGAAGGCTTTGGTTTGCACAGCTGTCTTCTGCATTTTACTCAGTGTCAAGAATACAGTTCTCATTATGTGATTAGAATAACCACCATGATGTATATGCTCTCTGCTACATTATGTCCCTGTAGCTAGGCAGCAGTAGTACCGTTCTGCAGTGGTCTAGGAAAAGTTCTGTTACAGATCATTGATACGCAGTACAAGTTATTTCTTCACTGCTGGCTATAAAATAGGATACGGGGTAAGAGTACAGGATTGGAGTCTGCGTCTCTCTGCTCCATAGCTAAGTTTGCTCATCTGTAGAAAATGAATAGAGCAGCTGATCAGCTGTCACACACCTCAAGAGATGGGCTCAGGATTGTAACAAAACCAGGCAAAACTCAAGCCTTGTCTTCTCCAAAACCTTGCCTGGCTTTGTCCAGGAGGTGAGGTGCCAATCCCCTCAGGTTACTTGGAAGCATCTCCTTCCACCATCAGCCTTGCAGTGTTTCCTTACCTGTGCTACCTGATGCCAAGAAACTGCATCGCTTAAGAATGTTATACTTCAGCAAGAGAAACTTTTGAAACAGCTGTGGTAGCTGTTATTAAACCCACAGGAGTTTAATATACCTGCAGTATATCCTCTTACATTGGAACAGAAAACAGTAAATAGCATTCTGTCATGAGTTACTTGAGTTCATATTTTACATGCCCTGCTTGTAATATTCTCCAGTAGGCGCTGTTGCTAATGCGTTGCTTTTATGTCATCCAACTTTTTTTTGAAGATTCTCAGGAATCACAAAGAAAATGCTTCTTCCAGTGAAAACAAGACTGCCAGACATCCAAACCAGACTAAAAAAAATACTTCCCCGTGACGCAGTATTGGTGGGTCATTCTTTAAATGGTGATCTTCAGGCTTTGGAGGTGAGTAAGCCTTTAAGAGTATTTTTCCTAACCCTGTGATACTCATGTCAGACCTGAAAACTCTAACAATTCCTCTTTTTATTAGTGAACACTTGTTAATTGCTTTTTATTATTAATACCCTTATGTCTATAAGGATTTAAAAGAGACAGACTCTCCTTCCTTTACTCTGTAAAACTTGCAAGGGGCTGTTCAGAACCCAACAGGACGAGAGGAGTCTGTCCAGGCATAGGTACAGCTGCAGCAGCAGCTTTACCTCTCTGCCTCAGTTCAGCCAGGTGCTTTTGATAGCTCTGTCATGGGAAGCACTGACGTCCTTCCTCTATTTAATTTAACCAACCTAAAGTGCTTGAATCATAGTCTGTCTAACACAATCTAGATCTTCCCAATAGAGTGTTAGGAAGGAGAGTTGGACTTGTTTCATTATTCCCACTTGCTCTCTCGTTGTGGAGCAGTGAGAAACTGGCAAGTGAAATTAAAAGGCAGAGGCACAGATAACAATGGAGTTACTGCCCAATTCTGTGTGACTGCTCTTCTTAAATTAAACTGGTGATGTTTTCTCTCCTCCAGATGATCCACCCCAGTGTTATTGATACTTCATTGCTTTTTGCCAGAAATGAAGGTCGAAGATTTAAGCTAAAATTTCTAGCCAAAGCTGTTTTAGGGTAAGAGTACTGTACTCTTATGGGAAATATAAGAAGCTGCTGGGGTGGGTCGTGGGGTCTCACTCTTCCACTAGTAGCATCAGAATTACTTTCTTTCCCCCCACCCCCCCCCCTAAAATTCAAAAGAAAGGAGCAGGCTGTGCAAATAGAGGTGGTAAAGAAGAATTTACTGCCTGCTTGAAACATCAGGGAGCGTAATAAATTGGCTTGTCTTTAAGCAAGCCGGGACGCTGTGACCCAACCAGATTTGAGTCCTTGCAGAACTAGCTTTTCTGCAGGTCTGTAGCAGTTCCAATGTATTCAATTTTAGAGCCACAAAGACACTGAGCTCACACAAATGAGATCTGTTGCAGATAGCAAGAATGAAAGGCTAATGTATGAAAGTATGATTTACTGACTGACATTGTACTCCTCAGTGTACCAGCTACCAATGGATAGAATGTCGTAGCGATACAGTTCTCACCATTCACACAGTGACTGTTAATGCTCTGCAGCACCAAACTTCACTGAGTTGGAGGTTGCCTCTGTGTGTGTGTGCAAATTGAGTTGGGTTGCTGGTCAAGGAAGAAGTAAAATTAAAAATAGTCATGCATCAGAGTACCAAGTGTTAGCACTGCTTCTGTCAAACCTGGTAAACAGTGTTTTGTTCAACAGTGCAAACACATTTATTGAACTAACTTTTGGGAATATTTCACGAGAATGCTGCTGCACAGAACTGAAATCCTTTTTGGAGAGGGGAAAGCTATTTTGCCTGAAAAGGACCCAGTTTGGAAAAGACAGGATGTTGGTCAGTGCAGAAAAACAGATAACCTGCCTTACACCTAATTTTGATTCCCTAGGAAAGAGATCCAGTGTGAACAGAAGCTTGGGCATGATCCTGCAGAAGATGCTAGAGCTGCACTGGAATTGGCTCAATTCTTTATTGAGCAAGGACCAGCAAAGGTAGCTATAGCTAATTAAGATTTCTGTCCTTAATTGCAGAATGTACCAGTTGTGTTTATGGAGAAAAAAAAAACATCACAAAACACTCCTTCCCATCCTCTTGTTGATTTAAAAGAGAAAACAGAGCTGTGATAGAGGCCTCAATTTTGACAGCTTGTTACTTTCAGCATATATCCAGGTATCTTAACCTGGAGCATTGCAGTGTTTCGGTACTCAAACACCGACACGAATCAGCATTGCTGCAGATTTTGAAGCAGGGCATTGGGAAAAGGATTCAGACACTTCCAGCCTACAGGACTGCCTGTCATTTCTCTGGATAAAAGAAGTGAGAGACCTTGTATGTTGTGGCAGTGATTCAGCTGGTTTTATGAGTCTCTTGCTTGTGTGTTGATTTCTGAGGGAACTTTTTTTTGGAGATGATTGTTGGGTGACGCTGTGAGTGCTGCATGCTTGAAAATGACAACAGAAAATAATAAGGCAAGAAATGAATGCCTGTGCTTCTTCACTGCTGTGGAGTGTGCCTAGGTGACTCAGAGAAAGCACATGCTTTTTGGTTAGCTACAATTAGCTGAGATGAAAGCCAACGACTAATCTTCTTCCTTCCCCAAGGTAGCAGAACTAAACTTGGAGATGCTTCTGACAGCTGAGGTCTCACAGAACAAAGCTGCGTTACAGCCACAAGGATGTAGGGTCCAGAAACACTTGAGTGAGCCTCCACATCTACCCACACCATGGTAATAAGATTCTCAAATATGCGTGTTTTTCCTTCCGTTGAATCCTCAGTAAAATCAAAGTGTGTTGTGTTTTTCAGAAGCCATCAGGATCTTCAGAGAGACACAAATAACTGTAGCGTAGCACTGAAAAACTTTCAGAAGTTGCATCTTAAATTTCACAAAGCATTTTCTAGGCTTCTTTTCATGTCGAGGACAAGTATATTCTTTCGGATTTCTTTTAATGAACTGTATCATTTTTCTCTGACAAGCACTTCTTGAAAGCTTTTAATTCACTGTACTGATAAGCACTGTGATTCACAGCTGTGTTCTCTCTGCTAGCTTTTTAGACTGCTTGCAGGTGACTGGCCAAAAACCTCTCCTTTTGGGCAGACAGGAACTAGACTCTTCTGGGCTGTGTCAGAGTAACCTGAGCATTTCAAACAAACAGGTGAATGGACTTAGAGTGGGTTGGTCTAAGCAAGCATCAAAGTAGGTCAAAATTCTTCTTGTTCTGGGGGTGGGTAGATGAGTCTGATTTTCAAAAGCTGACTGATGGTACTGTTAGCAATAGTGTAAATACCAGGTTAGCTAAACCCAATTTAACATTTCGGAAATAAGCTTTGATCGTATACATCCTCTCATGACTCATTAAAGAATTTCTGCCTGAGGGCTTCCTTGGACAATAATGAAAACTAACGTTGGGAATTAAGTTCCATAGCTTAGTTTCTGATCCTTTGCAGTACAATTGTCTTGTACCTCTTTGAGCCTTGACACTCTTTTCCCTCCAGATTCTTCAGAGAGCCTTAGCAGATGTTCCCCTGTCCACATTCAGTGTCATTCAGTTCAGTCTGGGTCCAGAGTACACTGCATCTCACCTTCTAGCTGGACTTTGTGAAAAGGTACTTTTTTTTTTTTTTTTTTTTTTTTGAGAATAGTCTTCATTGCTGAACTTGGAAAGAGAAATTAGTTATCTCAGGGCACCAAGTAGTTGGTTCCTTTGCTTTGTGAAGGTCCTTCTCTAATCTGTGTTCCTACAGGTGAGAAGCAAGCTGACTGACATGCTGACAATTTACGCAGGTCCTTTTGAAGAAAACTTTTGCCTGAAGTCTGTGAAAAAAGAATTTGGGAGGTGTGGACCAATCTGCTCTCTTACAGTGGTAACCGAAACACACGAGGTGAGGAGCACTCAAAGCATTGAGCTTGCTGACAGGCGTGGAAGGCCCGAGTAATCTCTTGGAAAGATATGAGTTAGAACCACTGAAATACCAGTTATTCTATTTGGGGTTTTTTTCCTGGAGTCATCAGCTACAACAATTCAGGGTATCTAAAAGCCACTCCACACAATGACAAGATAAACACAGCTCACATGGCTTAACTGTGCTGTTCAAGCTAGAGGACTTTAAACATTGGAGAAGCGGAGATGCTTTTTGTCCCTCTTGAGAGAACTGATACGCTAAGACCTTTTAATGGCCAAAACAACCAAAAACCAAAGCTATTATTAATTGACAAGCTAATTGAAGGCTGTTTTTAACAGCTACAGTATATGGAGTGTTACATATATTACCCCCAAGCCTTTTTATATTCTATTTTTAAAAGAAAACACAACTTTATTGAGACCTGACTTTTAGAAAGGGAGGGCTAATGTGTCTTATTGATAAGCCTGAAGTATCTTATCGTTCTGTTTCAAGCCCTATGTCTGTGTCCAGTACGAAGTGCTGGAAGCTGCCCAGCTTGCTGTGGAAAGCCTCAATGGAGCTGAGATAGCAGGATCCTACATTAAGGTAAACAACGCATATAGCAAAACCGTAAATTACGTTGAGCACAGGAACAGCATCCAATATGCGTCTTCTAACATCTACTTGGAGCGTAGCATCTGTGCAAATGCTGGCTGGTTGAGCTGTTACCATCTCCCTGTCCCTGGGCGATTTAAGGCCACTGGCAGAAAGGAAATGGTTATAGTCCTCTTTTTTTTTTTTTTTTTTTTTCCTTTCCCTGTGAGCAGAAGGGGTTAGAAAGCAGTCTGACCTCCAGCTGCAGCTTTAAAAGGAAGAGTCAAGTAACAGGGTGTTAAAATGCCATATACAAAGTACAAGTATCTTAATTTTATAGTGCTTCTGCATTGCAATCGTGATCTCTCTTCCTTTTTCATGACTAATTGTTAGCCTTCATTAGTCCTATTTTTTTTTTTTTTTTCAATTTCAAGGGGGGAGGGTGGGGAAATAGCTTGTCAATGTTTGGTAATGGGAGAAATAATCTAAAATAGAAGCTAAGAACAGAGCTGCCTGGGCTGACATGCTGTGTGTGTGGTCCTTCTGCTTTTTTTGCTGAACCCACCCCAGGTTCAGAGACCTGTCACTGCAGCAATGCTGGACTGCGATGTTTTGATAAAGGAACTAGAACTGGATGTAGAAAATGAAGGTGTGATTTATGTGGCGGGTCTAAAGAAGTCATTAACGGAGACGGACTTGCAAGAGGAATTCAGCCAGTTGAAAGACCTGGAAACACTATTCCTGCCAAAGGATCTCCAGAGTGGAAGGCACAGGAACTGCTGTTTCCTCAGTAAGTAGCTTCACATAACAGCCTGCTTATTTCCTTCAAATAAGGTCATTCAGCAGCCCCTGGGACTTTGCACAGACACGGCAAGAGCTACTGAAAGTCATGTATGCTCAAAGTGATGGCATTTAAAATATTCCAGTGAAAGCATGCGTTGTTTAGAGGAGCAGTTTACAGCTAAGTATTTAAAAGGGAAGAAAAACCTGCTTAAAAAAAGATGATCTTTACTTAGAATAAGTTCCAGGATAGTTCATTGGCTCCAGTATCTCAAGGTGAGGGCTGGCCACTGCGCAGCTTCACACAGACAATCACCTCTAAGAGGCGAGGAGAACAACAGGATGAGTGCTACTGTGGGTAACTGGCATTTCTGTAGCCTGATGTTTACTTGTAGCAAGATGAGGATCTGCTTGCTGCAGTGATTTCAGTTTCTCGTCTGTCTCCTGCTCCACACTGCTCCACACCTTTCGCCCTGCCCTATAGGTGCCAAGGAGCAGGGCAGCAACAACACCAAGCATGTTCCCCTTCTCCTTGTGTTTCAGAATTCCAGAAATCACAAAGTGCAGTGGATGCCCTTGAAGTTATAAATGGATGGACCGTGAAGGGCAGCAAACTGAGAAGTAGGAATGCTCTTGCTTCAGGCCACCTCTGGAGATGGATTTGGCAAATGAATCACAGCACCGGGAAGGAAGGAGGAAACATCTTGTATGAGAAAATGGAGCAGCTCTCTGACTCTGTGAGTTTGAGGCTATGCTGATTCACTGCAGTTAGGAGGTACTGCTCTGGGAACCAGGAGTGATAACTTCGAGCAGACTCAGATGCAGAGCTGCGTGTAACAGAAGGGTTTCCTTGTGCTGAGCAGAGAGGCTGCCAAGGATCAGTTCCCACAAGGCAGTTTGGAGAGGCAGTATCACGCGAGATAACGTGATGTTTGCAGGGTACTGTATAACCTTAAAACCCCATAGCTGCTCAGGGCGGCGAGTGATGCTACACAGAAACTGAAGCCTAAGCTTAAGAGCAGACAGAGCAACATACAGGTGCAGCAAGTGCTATGGGAGTCAAAGGGAGAGGCGAGTAGCTGTGTAGTCCTACAGGAAAGAACAGCTCCAGTTGCAGCTCTCGTTTTTCCTGGAGGAAGCTGCAGTGCCATTTGAGTAGGGCATGTGGCCACCTGCCAGCCTGTAACAGAATCACGGCTGTCCTCACCTGTTCGATCCTTGACGCTACCCGAGGGTCAGCCTCCACACACACTCTTCTCAGTGTGATTCCTACAGATCTGCAGCTGAATTGGGGTTTTAATGCTTATATTCTGTTACACAGGAGCAGGAGCTAAGAAAGAAGGTGAAGAAGTTAGACCACCATGTCAAAAAGCTTTATAGAAGTCTGCAGAATAACACCCTGTGCGTTGTTCTCTTTCCTGGAGTGAACAGGTAACTTGCTACCTATTTTGCAAAAAGCCAAGGAAAAGACATAGCCAAATATTTTTATCTTAATCTATTAAAAAGTAAAACCCTGCAGAAGAGAGTGAAAGCCCAAGAGAAGGCCTGAAGATGCTGTTGTACTTAATCAGTCTGACTTTCATGTTTGGCCAATAAAACCTGAACAGTAGGTTCTGCCCAGAAGCCTGATCCAGAACAAGCACAAGTGCTGAAACCACTTACGTAGCTGATGGTCCAGATTAGCAAGGCTGATGTACGCAGAGTTGATTAATTATACAGGTCGTCTCAGTTCACCTCCCTTCCCCTGTTGGATGTTTCGTCCCTATCGACAAGACAAGTTCTTTGTGCCCATGAGAGAATTGTGCAGTTTCCACAGCAGCCACTTTTTTTGGGTGGGTTTGTGGTGCGGTTTTGTTGTTGTTTGGTTTTTTTTAAAAAAACAAACAAACCCCACACCTAACTGCTGCAGCCAAGGCACCATCTACCAGTTGTTGTCTTGTGGAACCCTGACGTATGTGCTTCAGCTGTAGCTGATCAAGGAGGCAGTTCCTGCCCTGTCAGGGACACAATATTGGGGGGAAAAAAAAAAAAAGACTTTCCCCAAGTCCTTAAGCTTTCATAGGAAGGGGCAAATCCTAGAGTTGGGCTTCAGTGCTGTCCTCAGGGATGCTTCCAGGTGGGGTGGGCTTCCTGCATTTCAGACCCTGGGGCCTGAACTGCTGCAGTCCTTCACTGCTTAATTATTAACCAGAAAGGTTAAATCTTTCCCAGGCAAGGCCATGGTTACTGAGTACGTACTTATTTCAGCAGTCATCTTTCTGTTCTCTCACTGTGTACTATTCAGACAGTCACATAAAGGTCATAGCCATCCTTGCCTCTCTTCAGTTTCCCTTCAGCAGAAGGGACCGTTCCTTCCAGAGCCAGAGGACGTGCCCTGAAATAGAAGCAGAGAGCCAGAGCTGCTCGGCAGCATCTCTTCTGCCTGGCTAGGCAGCCAGGCCCGGTTCCCCTCTCGTACGCTTCCCGAGAAGAACCGTGATGCTGTGCTACCCCCTGCCCCGAGCAGTGTCCTTAGAAGGCAGGTGCATCCACTGCCAAGAGCATATTTAGGCTTAATGCCCGTGACAAACCCTTTCAGCAAGGTTGCATGCCAAGGGCTGCTCTCAGTGTGATTTGCTCTAATTGTTCAGTTTCTAATACCTTTTCTTAAAAGTAGAATAATTTTTTTAGGGTTTGGTTGGTTTTTTTTTTAATAATTTGTCATCTTCAATAAAGATGCAGCTATTTTCCTCACACACCAAGGAATAGCACACAAAGTGAGGCAGCAGCAGTTCCTACCTTACTAGAGAGGTGCTGTTACATGTAGCTGTGTGTAAATGTTCTTGCACGAGCTCGGTACCAAATACAGCCCCACTGTAAATCGGCCATGGGGGAGGCCTGAACCCAGGGCCACCCCCTGCGGTCCTTTGATCACCTGCTGCTTTCTGCTGAGCTATAACTGAGTCAGATTTTACATTTCTGAGCAATCATTTGTCTCTTCTCCACTCTGCTGTGTCACCTCAATCACTTTGCTTGCCAACCTGTTGGCCCCACTGGAAGGGTTGAGGGGAGGATGGCCGTGGCCTTACCGTCCGTACCACGTGTCTTCCAGCAGGTTCTCTCGGCAGGTCCAAATTTATTTTTCAAGGGCCATCTCAAACTAACCTCACGGCAGAAGCTCACCTGCTGTCTCGCATCCCCGAGGGGTATGAATCCCACCAGCAGAACGGGCGGGGTCAGGAGTTTGCGTCCACAGATTCCCCATAGAAGCCCCCAGAGCCTGGCTGACACCTGCCTCAGGCTGCTGCATGGGCCGGAAGGGAGCTCCATCCCAGGCTTGGAAGAGGTTCCTTGCCAAGCAAGGTGCCTGTATTGCCGTTTCCCAGAGGACTGACAGTCCAGAGGAGACTTCTTGATTAAAAAGAATGCCAAATAATTGTTGGGTGGGGGAAAAGAAAAAAGAAAAAGAGTTTATCGATGTGCTGACCCTGAGGGTTGCAGGCTTCTCTTGTAGCTTAAGTGCACCAAGGCAGAAATAATGCACCTCTTCTTTATGTTGCAGCACGCATGGATCACAATCTGGCCTTGGTCTGATGGGAATAAAAGATGACGGAGGGAGGAGTGCTTGTTAAACTGCCAAGTTTTTAAGCAAAGTCTTTTGTTAAGATATTTTTAATTACTTTAAATATTGATGTCTTTGTAAAGATCTCTTACCATAAGAACAATAGGCTTTCACTCTGTATCTTTTACAAAGTCTAAAAATAAAAGCCATTCAAAATGTCTTCAAGCCCCAAACCTTTCCCACTAAGCCCCCCGGCTGCGGCAGGTTTCCCTGGCAGTGAGCGAGGCGAGCGCTGAGGCAGAGCCAGGGGCAAACCAGGGGCACGTTGTGTAAAAGCCGACGGGCAGTGGCCTGCACGATGGAACTCGGCGAGGGGTGCATTGCCAGGACCGATGTCCCGGCTGGTTGTCTGCGCTGAAACACTGCGGGCTGTAAACCGGCCAGCTGAGTTAACGTAGTACCTACAGCAGCTGCTCAGCGCTGAGTGGTTCTTCTCGGGAATTGTGTGGATTTCTGGAAAAGTGCTGTGCCAGCTCCTGAAAGAGTCATCGCCTCCTTTCTGGGAAAGCACTGTACTTAGTCCATGGAAAGGAGGAATTGGTGATTCATGCTTCTTGGACAATCTCCACTTTCTCCTCCCTCCCTGACCGCCCCCCCACACCCCTCACACACAAAAAAGAAAAACAGAGAAGTTCCAGTGTGGCTGTGGGAGGGACAAGGGCCGTTTTAAGGAAAGCGCACCTCTGCGAACTTCACACGTCGCCGCGTTCACCAGGGAGCCGGAAGCGCCGAGTTGCGGCAAGACTCGGTGCTCTGCCTGCAGTAGGGTGAGGTGATGTGTAACCCGACGGCAGCCATTGCCACCTGCTCGACTGTCTCCTGCTAACACACTGAATTTCCAAGCACGAGGATGCCTAGGAGAGCTTTTGGCACTCAGGAAAAAAGGAAAAATTGAAAGGAAATGTTTGTTACAAGGTTTGAACGTGAGAGGAAGGATTTCTTGATATGAATTAGAATAGGCTGAGATAAAGTTGACATGGTTATTATTCCAGAAATTATTAAATACAGCTGATAGAATATTTACACCCTCCTACTTTCCAACCCCAAGTTCACTGTGCTGGGCTCTTGAGCAAAGAGCAGCTTACAGAGTAGAAGCTGGGAGCTGCTGCGTGGAGGAGCAGGCAGAAATACAGGCAAGGGAGAGAAAGGCAGAGCAGGAGCCAGAGGCAGCACTAGTGATCAGCATCTTTCATACCTCGATTTAAAGCCTCTAACACTCCTGAAATGAAATCTCTTACTAAGCAGGATGAATGCAGCTAATTTTTGTCTTCTAACAAGGTACTTTATCCACTCCAAGTGAGCCCGGCATCCGTCAGCTGTAGCTCTTGCAAACCGGGATAAGCATCAATGCCAGCAGCTCTACAAACCGCGAGTCCGTCCCTTGGCCCAGCGGGGCTGAACGGCAGCGGCCCCAGCACTCATCCCTCTGGAGGAGCACACTCCTTTTAAGGCTGTTCGCAGCCAGCATCTCCTCGTTGCAGACACTTGCACTGCAAAGTTGGGGGGGAAAAAAAACCAAACAAAAACCCCAAACCAAACCCCACCAAACCCAGCAGTTTTCATTCCATGCACTCAAAAACGATGCGGTCACCTCCCTGCAAGGACCAGGCAGGATGTGGTGGGCATCCCGGATTCCTGCTTGAGAAACTCTGGAGATGACAAATAAAACTAGCAAGAGTCCTATTTATAGGCATGAAAAAATAATTAATTTGTCCCCTTTTAATTGAAAATGTAAAAAGGACTTCAGCTTTAAATAAGACATTTTGTACAAAGCTTGAGCACAAAAAAAGTGAACACCGTGTCGTTATGTAAACACCACAACCGTTACTCCGTTGTTCCGTAATGCACCGAGCAGCGTGCAAGGTCCCTTTCCAGTGGGTCAGATTTCTGTAGCTGCTCCCCTCCCTCCCTCAGACCTTACTGGAATACAGGAAACCCAGAAGCTTTGGAACATTTACAAAGCTACAGTAGTCGGGATACATTGTGACCGAAGGTTGGTGGGTTGTGTTTTTCTTTACGGGATTGATCATTTAAATATACAGAAGTACAATAATCTCACAGGTAAATGAATGGCAGCTTGGATTAGAAAAAGCACCAAAATATTTAATATACATCTGGCACAAATTCCACAAGAAGTCAGTAATGGACAAACCAATGCTTTGCTTGTAAGAAAAGAAAAACGTCAGACTGCACTTAATGCTCCTCTTCCAAAAGGGACACGACAAGAACATTGCACTCAGGGTTGCGATCAAGTAAAAACAACCTTCTTACTACAACCTATTTGCATTGTGCCTTAGATTGCACGCTCTGTAAGACGCCGTTTCCATTCTGTTCCAGATAACCACGGTGAGCAAAACTGATGTAAGAAAAGTAATTGTAAAACCACAAACCAAACGGGACTCAGCAGATGGATCGTCTTGAACTTCTCCCACTTTTCCTCTGGATCGTGGTTTGATATTTGGCCACATCCCTTTAAAAAAAACCAAACCCTACGTGAAACAGAATTTACTCCAGCCATTTTCAAGCATTACATTTACACAGCACTTCTGATGGTGCTGTCTGAACGAGGAAGCACGGGTCTGCTCCACCTCACGCAATACATTCATCATTTCCCAGAGCGAGAGAATTGGATCGCACGCGGGTCTCTCCTGGGTAAGTCCGAAAGGCAAAAACCGGCTCTAACACGAAGAACGGCAGGTTTGATCCTACCGACCCTCGCCAGGTACTGGGGAACTGGTCAGCTAGTTGTATTCACGTGCAACTCGGTGAAAGCCGCACGACGGCGTGCTCTCACGATTTCCTTCGCTAGGATTAGTAACTTCTCTGGGAGCGAGCGCGCTACCAACATGCCTTCTTTCCTTCCACGGAGACTTGAGCCTAACCTGCGGCCTCACGACCCCCAAGCAAGTACTCCAGGAAATCCAGCCGTGTCAGCCAGCTCCCCGGCCGACCCCCCTCCTCCGCGCAGCCTGGCGGGGACTCGCGGTTCCTTCACGCCCTCACGACCCCAGCACAAACCCCAGCCCGCTGGGTCGGGACCTAATCCTGCCGCTTGCAGCCACGGCTCTCAGAACTCGAGTTACTCGACGAGTAACGGCACGAGGCCCTCTAACCACTCCTGCCAGCCCATCTCCTTTTTGAAAGGCTGATTTAAACTTCTCTTTAAGAAAGCAAGCATATTTTTAAGATAACTATGTTTAGCGTGACTTAAAAAAGTCACAACTTCAAAATATTAAGCAGTATTCTGTGAAGTCCTCTAACGGGTAATACACAGGGGAGTACACAACCAGCAGCCAGCCTTCAGCTCCGCTGATGCTCTGTGCGGGTTTGCCACCTCCGGTCACGCGATCTCCCCTCTCGCGGGCCCAGAGAAGAGCAAGAGTCAGCAGTTGTAACTGCGTAAAACGGCAACATTCAAGTAAACGCCCTGGTTCAACAGGAGGCAACCTTTAGTCCAAATGGAATTTACGGGGGGGGAAAACCCCCAAAGCTTTATAGCAAGAACACTGGAGACGGATGGGTTTGTGTGTGAAATGACGCGTTATCCAGAAAGGGCTTATCTGAAGAGTGCAATTACGCAAAGATAGAAGCTTTTTAATAATAAAATAAAGTTGTATAACCTCCAGAACCTGTTGGATTTTGCAGCCTAACTACAGAACGACTGAGGATTGCAATAGTAGCGAGGAACCGCTGTAACTCGGTGATTTAAGGCAAGCCGTTGGCAGGACTAGTACGTTCGTGCTCCTTCTCCCTACGGCCTCACGCGTCCCCCCGCCCTCCCGAAGCCCGTGGAGGTGGTGCCAGCGGTGCCACCCCAAAGCAGCCCTCCGCCTGGAAGAAGGAGCTCATAGCGACAGTTGCTGCAGCACGGCGTCCGGTTGGGATGAGCGGCGACAGTAACTGTGGGTGGCTTTCTGTGTGGGAGGGAAGGAAGGGACAGAGACGTGTCGCGTGGGAGGGGCACCACCTAAACGCGCCAAGGAACCAGCCGAGCGCTGAAACCACGCTGGCGTCTCCCGCACGCTCCAGAACTCCCCAGCTTTGCTCAAGGGGTTTATTCTGAGCGGATTCCGAGCCCTGGGAGGAAACGGATGCACGGAGCCCTGACACTGCTGCAGCTCCCATCTTCGCTCGGTGTTACGGGTCCAGCCCAACAGATAAAACGCGGTATTTTTCACCAAAAGAAAAATACGCTCATGGCGCTGCCTCAGGTGGGTTCCTTGAGTTTTTCAAGGGCAAATGAAAAGGCTGATGGCTCCCTCGCGGGGACCGGCCGCTCCATCTCCAGTTCATTGTCACACTGGTATCCCGACCGGGGAAGAGGGTGGGTGACGATAAAAGCCGCTGAGCCACACGCAACGTAGCTCCAGTCGGCCACTCTATGGCACTCCCAAACTAGCACCCAGGAGGACCGACGCTTTTGTTTGCGGCTTGACTTGGTTCCCTTTCAAAGGGTCGACTGCATGCAGATTAAAAGCAGTATACCAAAAAGTATGGCAAATAGCTAATACTTAACTGGGGTCAATTAAAAGAAAAACGATTATTCATCCAGGCATAAAATCCTGGGAGCAAAGGATGGTAACCTTGAACTGTTCAAGTCTAAGAACAAGAGGTAGAGACACCTATGTACTTCATGGTGAAGGGGTTACAGCCTTCCTTCTCACAATCTCATGTATTTCGCTTCAGTTGGCAATCTAAAAATCAAAGATTCAATCTTCAATAGTTCAGAGAAAATTTTAACACTGGTGGTTTTGCTTGCACACCACAACATTTAAGCAGACACTCAGCTTTCAATACTCATTTGAAAAAATATTTATGTTTTGCTGTCTATTAAAACACTGCCCTGAAGAATTTTGACTTTCAGGTTAAGCATCTTCCTTTTTAATATGAAAGGCTAAATTCACACGCACACATCAAGCCATGTGAGCTCAAGGGAAGAACTCGGTGCCCAATTTACTGAGGATCTTCTAAAAAAAGGACCACAATGCAGAACACAAGGCTGCGAGACTCACAATGACTGTCATTTCCCGATGAATGGGAATAATGTGACCTCAGCCAACAAACTGCATCACAACCAAGGTGGCAATTAACTAAGTGGTGTTGCTTTCACTTTGTTGGGGTTTTTTTGGAAACAAGACTTAGAACTGTAAGGAAAATACTTAGATTGACAGCGTCATGAAAACGCTACGGGCAGGGCCCAGCCCTGCGCAGGAACCCTGGGGGACAGGCGAGTCCTGGCATCCATGGGTTCTTCAGGCTCTGACGGACACCACGGAGCGAGACGGGAGTCACACCACCAAAGCTGCTGCTGCCCCCGTGCTCTGAACCCCGGGCTGCCCTCAGGAAGAGGGGCTGCTTCTACCTGCAACAACCCCGAGTCACTCCCCGGCAGCAGAGCAGGGTCAACTCGTTTCACGCTCTTAGACGCGCTTGGCTGAAAAGCTCCAGTGGTTCAGAGGCCGGTTCACCAGCAGATCGGCCGCGCCAGCCCAGGGAAGGCAGCGCTCGCCCCGGGGCAGACTGAACCGCCACAGGCTTTGGCTATCTGATTTTATGCCACCTGCCACACCTTCAGTTATTTTTCCTGTGGTTCTTTCATTACAATTGCACAGTATTAAAAAGCTATAATTCTCCATACAGAACAGCAGCAAGTAAACTCACAACTCAGCTTTCCATTTCAATTAATTTCCTCGGTCATGTTTTATGGCAAGCTATGGGCAAAATCTTTCAGATCCTTACTTGAATCAATAAATAGTCTTTGACCTCAAAAACGCACCACACAAGTAAAAATTAGCACAACAGCCTCCAGTTGATCTGGGAGCTAAATTTTAAAGGTGTTGCGTACTATAATATGGTGCAGGTGGTCAGTGGTTTATTACTAGGGACTAAAGTTTACAGGAGTTGTATTTCTTTGCGTATAAGGGACAGCAATAAAATGCCACAGAGTGGGGATGTCAGACCAGTTTTCCAGTATATAACTCTATAGTTCTCTATAGTTACTTAGCCCAAGCTGCAGCAGATTCACTACATGCATAAAGTTTTCTAATGCATACTGTAATTAAAAAAAAAAATAAATAGTTGCAACGGTTTCAAGGATTTCATCAGCATCACTGCTCACTACAGTCCTGTGCCCTAAACAATAACGATTTAAATTATATAAAAATGAAGAGCGAATGTATTTGGCCTGTTCCACAGATATTCACAGTTTAACCATTAAACAAGCATATTTTCAGAGACTCCGATATTGTTAAAGACTTCTCAGAAACATGTATGAACCCCACTCCCACACGGGTACGCCAGCATTACAGAGTACGGTCTATTCTCCTTTAGGATCATAAAATCACCGGGCAATCCGAGGGAAGGTCTGACGCCCGCTCTTACTTCCAGCACTGCCCAAGAGTTGCACCTTCAGCTCCTGGTTCAGGAGTTTAAAACTGATACAGATCTGGTTTGCATTCTGTAAATGGCAATTAAAAACTGAGGTTAGGCTAAAAATAAACGGTACTTTGCTCAATAGATCATTTGGCTATTTTTGCAAGTATTCTACCCGCCGGGTGGAGCTGCTCCTGCTAGGCTGAAGGCAGCGGAACAAGAGCAAGGCTGTGCTCTCATACCAAAAGCACGGGACTTCGGCCACCGGGAATTGCACGTCCTTTCCCCAACAGGAAATAAAAGTTTTCCCTTCCTGTATATTCACCACCACTGTCTTTAAAAAGAAGCTGTATTACATTTGATACACTAAAATGGCTAAGCCTTGATGTGCCACAGATCGATTTCCTTACTGCTATCCACATTCAGACCACAAAATAAACACTTTCCTTAAAGAGCTCCATCCCTCATCCTTTAGGGCTGCAGGTTTAGCCTATAAATCAGTAGCAGCCACTGCCACGATTTTGTGTGCACGTGCAAGCACCGGCTATCCATTTGAATAGTTACATTTTCACACTCTGGACATTTTAAATTCCCTTTTGGAAAAAAAAAATATAAAGTGATGAACAAAACATTTAATAGCTGAATCAATGAGTAGTCTCAAACTTATAAATACAGTCTTCATTTACTATCAAATCAGTCTCCATTTGGAACTTCTGCTAACAAAGCAGCTTCTGTCGGGGAAATTTTTTCCTTTTTTCCTTTTTTTTTTTTTTTAAATAAGAGCACCAACAAAAGTCTCGCCATAAATTCAATTATACCAGCACAAGTGCTTTGTCCTGCTTTGCTGACCAAATCAGAATAAGGTTTTGCTGCTCAACAGTGCTTGTGCCACGGTAGCTTGGAAGGTTATAGTAGCAAGGACAAAGCTTTGGGGGGGGATTTCCCTATAATACAAGCGAGTTTGGGGCTCCCCTCCTGCAAAAGGGACAGGCTCAGCTCCATCTACACCTACTACATTTGTTTTCCACAGCTTGACAAGTCTCCCAGCAAGAGCCTGCAGAAGCAGCATGGCCCAAACTCTCCTTTTATTAGATGAAAGAGATGCTATCTGTGGCTTGTGGGTTTGTTTTTAAACAGTTTGCAATACCCACGTTTTGTCAGTGATTTATGATCTCAGACCCGAGCTATTGCATAGGCTGCGCACCACCAAAGCCAGTGACAGAATTCAGGCAGATCCTCCTCCTCCTCCTCTCTCTGCTAACCCCTCTGGGGCACAGCAGATGTGCAAAGCATCCCAGATCCACTTAAAATCTGTTTCCCTTTACCTTTAAACCCCTTACATCACAAAAGCCATTAGATGCTATGGATGACTGTCCAGGTTTTTTGTTTGTTTTGTTGTTTGGTTGGTTTTTCAATTGCAGCTGGTTTATGATCCTGAAATGCAGCTCTGAAAACAAAAGGTGTGTAATGGAAGTGTATCAAATTCATCAAGCCAGTACTCAGCTCTACAGAAAGCCTTGGTAATCATCCCTTTTACCAAAAGGTGTAAAAAAGTTGACATACTAAAATTAAAAAAGGTAGCATCAATAACCAAAAAAGTTTCAACCAGTGTTAATAAAACTCCCTTTAAGTCACAACAGTTTCAACAGGCAAATTGTCCCAATACAGGCATTGTAAAATAATAAACTGACTCCTATCCAAATATTATCAAATCAGTCTAAAAATGACTCATCTACACTGTTGTCATTAAGAACACATTAAGAATTCACTTTGTCATCAGATGCCGATATTGTTGCTCCAGAAAGTGTGGAGTATTAACTGCGATTTAGCAATTAAACAGGTTTTAAAAAACTGGTTCGTCAATATTAATGCAAAAGATAGTTCCTTACATAGAAGTACTGTGCTTGCCAGACAAGTAAGAGAATACTTTAGGTATAAATCACACAAATTAAAGCAGAGTTATACCACAGTTTTCCTTGAAGACTTAGGGTTTGTGTGTTGCTTCTGTCAATGTTTAGCAAACTTAAGAAGCAGAACCTTTGGTTCTTTTAGTCAAGTAAAAATATTCTCATGTAACCACAAAAATACAACTTCCAGAGAAAATGGAAGTCCATCAAGAAGTCCACGTTCAGTAAAACTGAGGTAGTACTGCTCTTTTATTACGTGATGCGTAAGAGATTTAGATACAAATCATCATCTACCGCTCAGTTGACTGACAGGTACAGTAATTTTATAAAACAATCCCAACATTTAGTTTGAAACTCCAGAAAAAAGGAATGATCCGGACTCATTTGCTATGAGTTAGCTTAAAATGGGAACTAGCCATATTATAAAAAGCTGTTGCTTATGTTGGTTTTTAGAGCCTTATTATTGGGGGATTAATGCATTTATAGTTAACACTGCTGTTGTTCTTGGGTATAAAACCTTAAAATTATTACAGCCTAAAATGTCAACAATGTAAACAGCACTACACACAGTACAGACCTGCCCTGACAGATGTAGTATGAAAAACTTAATCTGGCACTGTATAATTTAGCAATGTTAATTTAACCTAGCTAAAAAGATCTACATTGTGCAAGAAATATCAGACTTACTTATACTAATCTGAAGTCTTAAAAAAAACCAAAAAACCAAAAAACAAAAACAAAAAACCAAAAAAAACCAAACCCCCAAAATGCTTAACTTGTAGCCAGGGTCAAATATTTCAGGGCAAGAGTAAAAGGAATAACCAAAATTAAGAAAGTGCCTAAAACATGATACAGCATTTTAGAGCCCTTTCAAAGACAAGGCAGAAAAAGGTGTAAAGTAGAAAAATCTGGAGCCTCGGTAATTGCCAGAAACATCCAGAGTTTACATTTCACGAAGGGCAACAGGTTACTTTTGTCACTGCTGCTTCGACGCCGCTAAGTCTGTTCCTCCGCACACAGGCCCTCTGTGTCCGAAGACGTAATGCATTTGGTTTCCTCTTCCTTTTTCCTTCGCTCCATTTCCCACTCCACAAAGGTATCGAAGAGACTCGGCCAGGCCTCGTCCTCGCTGTAGTTGCTAAGGTCCGGTCCGATCACCTGAGTAAAATTTAGAAACATGTTCCACGTGTCCCGGGAGATTCCCTTGATTCCTGAGGGGTTCTCGATTAGGAAGTGTAACCACTGGTCCAAAATGGGGGGCTTGTTTTGGGTGAAGACTAATTTCCAAAGGGCAATGGCTATTTCCCGATGTAGCGACCTCTGTCCTTCTTCAGAGTCCAGGCCGAACTGGAAGGTGAAGCGATAGAGATCCTTGAATTTATCTTCCTGCTTGGCTTCGTTTAAGAGGCTGGGGAACCTTGCACAAATGCCGTCGATGCTGTCTGCGTTTATTGCTTTGCAGCCTTCAAAAAACTCCTTCCTGTTAAGCGAGAGAAGAGAAATTAGTGCGAGCGCTTCCCACCGGCCTCACGCGCTGAACGCTTCCCACCTCTGTTCAGCTACGTCACATCGGAAGAAGGCTATCTGGGCGAGACAAGTGGCACAAAGATTTTGGCAACAGGAACTGCTGGAAAGAGAGACGTTTCCAAGAAGTTCCTGATGGCCTGGGGAGCCACGCACCCCCTCAGATCTGCTGGGCCACTGTTGGCATTTCAAAGATTTTGCTGTCTGGCTTTTGACTACTCCATACTACCACATCCAGTGCCTTTCACATTAAAAAGGGAATAAAATTTACTACAGAGGCAACGCCAAATGTTTGAAAACACCACATTTACGCACTGAAGCGCCATATATATAAACCAGCTAGCTTTGACATGGCCCATGCTCTGGGTGAGCTCTTCTCAAGGGACAGAGCAGGTCACCGGTGGCTTTCCTGTGGTTTTTGGTGGCTCTTCCAACCTGCAAAGTAAAAAGGGTGCCAACGGTGACGGTCAGCAAGGCACCTGCCGGGACAGTGGAAGAGAGCACGGCATCACACAACACGGGCTACAATGCCACGTATAAACACTTCTCAAAGCAGCAGTCCTACGCTAATTAGCCCACTAATAATCTGGCCAAGCGGGTAGATGGTTAGCTCCGGTTTCTGTAATGCTGATGAGGAAGTGTCATAACCAGCCAACATTAACCAAAGCCAGCAGACCCTGACGCGGGATGGGCTGGAGGGAAGACGGGAGACGGGGCAGCACTCGGGAGAAGAAGAGAAGACCGCGTTGCTTTCCTTGATGGAAGAAATCGATCAGCAACCGCAGCACAGAGCGTGCCCTCACACAAAGGTAACCTCACACCACTACATTTGCCCTCTCCAAGAAAATCGAAACAACGTTAATAGAACTCATGGTGGTAGCACAGAATCACAGAGACTCCCTGCAATTCCTTCACCGCTCAGCAAATACCTGCGCCATCAGTCTCTGATAAATCCACGTTTGCATTCCAGAGTAACTCATCCATTCGACACACCCCCACATCCACACAGACTCTGAGGCTGCTGGAAAAGCTATCTGCGTTCAGTGCACAGCAGAGGCTTCGTTCAAGGCTCAGGACACCACAGTAATTTTGAGAGTTATCAGCCCAGTAAAAATAGGTAGTATTACTCAAACCAATCTAGGCAGACCAAAAAATAAAACATTCGTTCTCTCTCAGCACATCCCTGTACGAAGTCTTTACTTGCTCTTACCTGGATGTTGATAATCAAGTGGGGGGGGGCTGTTGTAGTTTTGGGTTTGGGTTGTTTGGGGTTTTTTTCTGGTAAGTTTTAGCCGTTCTGTTGTTTCCTGTAGCATCACACATGCTATAAGCCTGCTGACTGACCCCCTTGGCCAGAAGGACAGGCAGCACTTTAAATATCCATCACTTCTCAGCCAGTATGAAACAGCTACCAGTGTCGAAAACCTCGCGTTTCCCTCCCTCTCCGTGCTTTAACAGGGTTACTCTTGGAAGAAGACATTAAGTGTAACACTGGTTGGGCAGGACCAGCGCTTAGGAAGCAGTCTGTCATTCTTTCACAGAATGATAACAGAGTTGGTAGTAATTACTAAGGAATCTCACATGACTTTAAAGCAAAAATTAATCTCAGTGTCCGATCTCATCACCAAGATAATGCTGGATACAGTAAAATTGCTTTTGGTAAATCAAGAATAAATGAATGCCCACAGAATCTCGCTACGCTGTTGATCATTAGCAGCATAATGTCCAAAACCACATTTTCTGTTCTGAAACCCACTGCGAGGGGAAAGGGAAGAGAGGACAATACAAAGCTTACCTTCTGCCAGCGATAGGAATTAATCTGATCAAAACAGAAGCGTTAGAAGAAATAAGTAAGTGAAGCTAATGAGGCTGTCTCTCCAACATACAGATGACAGGATATATTATAACATATGAAAATAATTACAAGTTCTACAAGAACTAACCTTGTAAATTTGCACATGGTAGCAGCCTGGAATTTCCAAGCCAAAACTAGCACTTTAAATTCAGTGGGATCAACACAGAGGTCATTGCAAAATCGTTCCATTCCTTCTTCCAGTATGGCATCTTCCCGTTCATCCTTATACCTCCTAAATAACTCCCCGATCCTTTGGAGCGAAGATTCTTCCGTGCTGGCAACAGAGTCTTTCTTTGTATCTCCAGAAAACGTCGGAGGCTGACTAGACTCTACAGCAGCGTCCGTCTTTTTTGTCCCGTTCACGAGTATATCTCCCGAAGACTTCCCGCCAGCTGAACCATGGTCGTCTTTGTGGACCGCGCTTCTCTTACTGTGCGACTTGCTGCCCGATTCCCTTTCCCCGTTTTTGCTGCCCAGGGTAGAAGAAGGATTCTTGCACTTGGTGACACACTGGCCCATGATGTTGCAAGCCCGGCTTCTAGAGCGGTCCCCTTGCCGTCGGACACCCTCGCAGCTGCTCTTCAACACATCTCACCATGCCATTAGCAGCAGTCAACTAACCTGAAAAACAGTTTCAGGGTCAAATTGCTGTTTCTCCACAAAGAATATTGTCAGTCTTAAACGTGGGATAACATTTGCCAGTAAGAGACCGACTTCAGGATATTTAAGTTTTGCGTACTGAAAAGAAGTAGTGTACAGAAGGTTGGCATATGCCATAAATTTCAGGCAATTTCAGGCTGTTTTACCTAGAAATCAATGCAGCTCACTCAGTGGCTGCAGTATACTAACGGGTCCTAATAAAGGAAATTCCTAAAATTCTTACTGTAACGTAGGTTACAAAGAGGTTGATTCATGTACAGCCTTCATCAAGACAGACTACTCTAACCCAGAAATATTTTAAAGGAAATGGTTTTTAAAAGTATAGCCACATTTTATATACAGAATATAAAATGCTGAAACAAAGCAGTGGGGAGGGATGAGGACACCGATGGGACAACCTGGCAGAGACTTGAGCAGTAGATTTCGACTGTACCTTCAGCAAAGGGGCAAAGGGGTTTCGGGGGGCTTTGTTGGTTTGTTGGGGTTTGTTTCTTGCAGGGGGGTGGAATTTGTGGGTTTGGGGTTTTCTTTAAACAGAGTCTGAAATCTGGATTTTCGTTCTTGAAATATACACAGAGTGTGTTTGCAGAAAGGAGGCAACACTCACTTTTCATGCAAGATGGTGTTTAGGAATTATTCATTGTTTCAAGTGGGCTCCTCCCTTCAGGTAACGAGGCAGACAGGGAGAGGGGGCCCTTTTAATGAAGCATTTTCAGACAGACATACATGCAGATAAGAAGTAGTAAATCCAGTTCCATTTAAAAAAAAAAAAAGAAAATTAAAATGCCAAAATGTTTTCATCATACTCTGTTTTTATAAATCACAATGTTAAAGCCTTGCATATTTGGAAAAGATATTTTACCCACAGAAAAGGGTGCTTAAATTTTCCCTATGAAACCCAAACTAACACTGACACTATCCTATCAGCATGCAGCCACGCTGCAGACAGTCCGTTTCTCAGAAACATCAACTCCAAGAAAGCAATTGCTTATCATATTTCTCCTTTACCCACTTACTGGCATTTCATCTCCGCTGTCAGTTAGGCAAAAAGCCTCAAACATAAAAATTAGGTTTGCCTCGTCTTTGTTTACTGCTTCCAGGTTACAGAATTTGAACAAGAAAGAGATCAAGATTAAAAATGAAGAAATAAAATAGATGTCATGTCAGATTTTTCTGTATTCCTTCTTGGGTACAGCTCTTCTGAGACCAAACCCCTGTTTTAAGCTGTAAACGGACTTGGAACAGCAGCACCAAGTGCAGATGAAGTCTCCAGAAATTAGGATTACAAACATAAATCTTCCCTCAGCCATTATACCTATTTTGGCAAAACACCGCATATGCAGTTTCTTGAGCAAAAAAGAAATTTTTTTGCCAGTACCACTACAGCAGCCAAGATGCCGGTTTCAACTACCTGGCTTCCCTTCCCCCGTCCCTTTTCTTAAGCCCAAAACCCACAAACAAAACTAACAAAACCCTATTTTTAAGCAGCAGAATAAACATTTAGTACATCTTTTAATCAAACTGCTTTAAAGATTAACTTTGTCGCATTATTTTTATAGGCAAGTGAAGTTCAATTTAATGTATTCAAGAATAATTTCTTATTTGTATTTTAAATGATTCATTAAAATATGTATTTCCGCACAAACAACCCAAAAGACAATTTCACCGGCCCCTAGTACGTCACAACTCCGAATTCCTGAGTCCAGCCCAGCACTGGCTCCTGTGCAGCCATGTGTCTGAGCAACATCATCTTCTCCAGTCTACACCAGCCATTTTTTCATGACACCAAAACAAACAGGGTATTATTAGGCAGTGTAAATTACTGCTTAGTGATTAACTCCCAGATACCAGTCCGCTTTTTCTTTTGCCCTTTTTTTTTTTTTTACTTCCTCTTCAAATTCATCAGAATTCAAATGCTCCATCTACACTAATTCTTGTTCTTCCACCAGTTTCTCAAAGGCAGCCAGCACTACTTTGGCTAAGTTTTCCTTTAGAGAGAAGCACGCAAGTAAAGGAACAGAATACAAAAGTCCTGCATAAAAACTAGTATTAGAGTTTAAAGTGGAGTTTAGCTAGTTCATAAAACTTTCTGCTCAAACACATAACAGCAATTATCAGCTGTTGGGGATTCCAAACACTTTTCCCTATGGGCAGGCTAAAGAGCAGCAGCCTGTTAGTGCGTGGTACTTTTCCTCTGAAGTAGCCGGTAACAGTCAAATCACACACATAATGGACAGGGATGAATCCAATTCGCTTTAAGAATCCCGACGTAAAGTACAAAAAAAAAAAAAAAAAAGAGAGGACAGTTTGTAAAATTAACTTACATACTCCATTGATAAATTTTCCTAACGGAAGTGATTCATGCTGTCATGCTTCCTAAGCAATGCCTTCTATTAATGATGATAACGATCTAATATTCAAGTCTACAAAGTGACATCACCAGAATGACAAAACCAATGGGGTTTATTGTCATTTGCCGTCATGAAAAGGCAGCATTACAATACACAGAGGGAGGGTGAGCCAGCTTTACTAATCACCTGCATGAGAAGAAGTGTCCCAGCAGCACAGTGGCGTCGACCCACGGAGTGCAGCTTAACCCCGTTCCCGCAGCGCACCGCTCCAGCCAGCGCGGTTTCTGTACTCCAGCCTTACACGGAGCCGACTGTTGCTCCTGAACAGCCGTGGCCCAGGCTCTGCTAGCGCTGCTCTTCCCCACAGCAACCGAGTTCTTCCTTCCTCCTCCCTGCCGAGGAGGTTTTCAGAGCATAATCCTACTCGTTATGAACACTAGAACGACCTGAATTACAGTTGCAGCAATTCCTCACTTTTCTACTACATGAAACTTGATGCCACGTGCCAGATACTTTGAAGTATTCTACCCCAAAAATAGCAAAACCAGCTTGGGGGAAAAAAAAGTCAGACTGCATCTGCTGGCAGTTTGTGCATGTATCTGGTTTTGTAAGGAAAAGTCTTTTGGCGCTCCATCCATTACCCTTTTATAAAATGCCTTCGCTGAGCTGGATCCACTTCACTTACCAGTCACCTCCGCTTCCTACATGACTCAGGTTTCAAGGCATGAATGGAACAAGAGCCTCGGAAGGAGATAGAAACAAGTGGGAGAACTCGGCCCTTTTGTTAAGGAAGGCTGGAGCGAGGATCCGATTGCAGCATCAGGAGCCGCACTGAACGCGGTGTTCAAGGAGTAGGAAAAAGCACTCTCAAGAAAGCGAACAGAGCTACTCAGTTAAGCGTAGAGCAAAGCAAATGTCACGTCTAGGTCATGCCGATTACAGCTAAGTGAGCACAAGAACACACAGAAATATTTCTCCGAGCTGGATCAGGAACTACAAGTTCTGGCGTACCCAAAGGTTATACTGGATCAAAACGATCAGCTCCCAAGAGCAAAATAACTGTAACAGGCTTGTACAACGTGACAAGGCAAAAGGCAGCGCTGACCACTAGTTTTGCCATTCTATTAAAGAGATCAAAATTCAGGACTAAGGTTGGAACGCACTGAGCGCTGCAGGATGCAGTACTCCCAAAGAAGTTGGATTACTCAGACAAGCATTGAGCAATAACCTACAGTAAACATGAATCACCAAGATGCCCGTGAGGCCGTCTTCCACATAACAGGAACTGCAAAGCAGAGATCGACAATGATCTTCTCTGGTCCTTTCTAGAGGGGAGTAAGCAACTGGAAACACAGGAAGAGGAGTGCTGGTGAATACAGGCAGTTAAAGGAAAGCCACCCTCTAAGAACAAAGGATGCGTAGAGCCGTATTACCCAACACGTTAAACAGAAAACCTAGAGAAGACTGGAAAGACCTTGTTAATGCTTGCTGGGGTTTTTTGTTTGGGGGGGTGGGGTGGGTGTT